TAGTATAATTAGAAAAGAAATCTTGTAAAAAGATTATTATTATTATAATAATAAGCTTTTTAATTATATTTTCCAAACAATTCAATCCAAAACTATTTATTTTAAGCTAGAATAGCAGATTCTTTTATATATTTTTTGAATATATAAATTATTATAGTATTATTAACTAATATTATTTAATATTATCTAATATACATATTATAATTAAAGTATTATAATATAAATAATTAAAATATATATATTAAAGTATGTTAAAAGATATTAAAGAATATTAAAGAATATCAAAGTTTGTAAAAGAATATTAAAAGATATAGAAAGATATTAAAAGATATAAAAAGATATTGAAAGATATAGAAAATATTGAAAGATGTGAAAGAATATCAAAGAATATGAAAAAATATTTGTGATTAACATTTTAAATGTATTTGTTTTATTAAAAATAAAAATAATTTTCCAATATACTATTCTACTATATATATGAATATCATATTATAAGTAATAATAAAAATATAAATCTTGAATAAAAATAAAATATAGTATTTAAAAATAGAAATATGATAATAATTATAGTAATAAAAATAAATATATAATGTAAAAATAGTAATATTTATAAAATAAATAAAAATTATAAGAAAATATAATTTTGAATAACTAAAAAAAGATTAGAAAATTAAGAAATTTTATATTATTATGATAATAATATATATAAAAAAGCTTGAATAGATAAGTATTTAATATATAAGTAAATTAATTAAATTTGAAATAAATATTCCAAATATTAATAATATTCAAATTAATTTTTTTATTTATTATAAATTTATTTGAAGAATATAAAACTGAATTAATATATCAAAAATATAATACTTATTTAGTAATTATTTTTAAAGATTTAATATTAATTATATAATTTTTAAATATATATATTAGCAAATTATTTAAAAATAGATTTAAAAAAAATAATAATTATAAATGTAAATTAATTAAATTGAAATAAATATTCTAAATATTAATAATATTTAAATTAATTTTTTTATTTATTATAAATTTATTTGAAGAATATAAAACTGAATTAATATATCAAAAATATAATACTTATTTAATAATTATTTTTAAAGATTTAATATTATTTATATAATTTTTAAATATATATATTTGCAAATTATTTAAAAATAGATTAAAAAAAATAATAATTATAAATAAGTTATAAAGATTTCAAATTAACTAAAAATAAAAATTTAAAAAAATTATAATATAATTTGATTTATTAATAAATTTTATAAATATTTCTTCAAAAATAATTATTAAATCATTTAAAAAATATGAAATTTTTAATATATTAGATTATATTAGATAGTATTAATAGTTCTGATATAGAAATTTGTAAAAATAAAATTGAAATAATAAATAAAGATAATATTTTTGTTAAAAAATTAGAATTAGATAAATAAATATATAAAAAAATTTTTATTTAAGTATATAAAGAAATTGCTTATTCAATTTTTCTAAGATAATTAGATTTAAAAAGGAAGAAATTGCTTATTCAAAGAGATTGCTTTATGATATTTCAAAAATTTTTTATTATTAATTATAATATTTAATATATTATATAATTAATATTCAAATTAATAAGTATAATAGCTTAATATTTTTATAAAATTTATCAAATTATTATTAAGTTTAAATAAAATTAGTTTTATTTTTTTGTAAATACTTTTTTCATTTCTTAACTGATTCAATTTTTTATTATCTTAATTTTTATTAATTATCAAATATTTTTTATAGAAATCTGATTTGAAATATTAAAACATATTAATATTATTTTCTATATTTTAATTTTTTGCAAGAATTAAATAATATTTCAATTATTATTATCTTGAAAAAGTTATTTTTTTCAAAAAAAAATCAGAAATAAAAGTTAAAAGATCCTGTTTATAAATTTTATATATAGATTAAGAATTCTACCAAAAGTATATTAATTTATTAAATCTTAAAATAAAAAAATACTTTTAAATATAAATTTTTGCTAGATGATTATTAAACTTTTCTTTTTGTTTGAAATTATTAAAATATACTCTTGTCTATAAAAATAATCCAATTCCAGTTAAAATTTAGATTTTTTATTTATTTTGAGTTTAAAATATAACTATATCTAAGAATTGTAATTCTAATTTAGCTATAAAAAATATATTATAATTCTGAATAACAAACTTTTTTAATTATTACTATTATTATTAATTATAGTCAATTTGTCCAGTAATTTTATTTAAGTAATAATTTTGCAGTTTCATTAATATATTTATCTTCAGCTTCATAGAGATGTTATCTTACTATCTTTATATTAATATCAACACCTTGTTCTTTCATTTTTTGTTGTATATGACTAGTTATTATATGATTTTTCTTTTTCAGCTTTATTATGATTTGTTTATCTTGTGTTTTCATTATACTATATGATCAATCAGATCTTTCTTTGGTGCTCAAATCTTGATTTCTGTAATATTTTTTGATCCAATAAGCAGTTATAGGCTTACTATAGCAAACATGTTTTGCTATTTTTGCATAAAAATATCTTTTTTCAAGAAAAGTTCCATTTTTTGATCATAAAGTTTGATATTATCTAATCCCTGGTACATGATAAACTAGTTTTCCTTTTCACTCTACCTTTTTTCGTACATTTTGAACTAATCGCCCAAAATTAATTATGACAGCATCCAATTTTTAAAGATATATAACACAAAAACAAGATTACTTGTACATTTATAGGTTTGTGAAACTCTTTTTTAAGGCTAGAGTCAAAGTTTTCTTGTTCTAGAAATACAATCTCAGTTAATAAATCACATGGTTCGCGATCATACTGTATATGATTTTTTTTATTGTGGCAGTAACTTCCATTTGCAATCCTGACGAAATTTTATACTGTAATAGAACGACGATAAAATTTCGTCACATATACATGTATATGTATAACGATGATATCCCAACATTTGGAATATTGGCTATATTAATGCTAGTTTGTTAGTTTTGGGATTATGTCATTCCCAAATATTTGGAACTATGTCATACACAAATCTACCCAAACTATTTTGGCAAGGAAACCTGGCATAGAGACTATAATTTGTACAACCATTCTATTGCTGGCTTATGTGTAAAATAGCAATCAAACAAAACAGGAACGTCGATATTTTACTAATGGAATCAAATGACATAATATACTCGGAAAACGACTCGATTAATATACTTGTACATGTACTCGGAAATACAAACCTTGTATCACAAGCATACTGAACGCTGCGGATATATGCGATCCCGACTCCGATTGTTTATTCATGTCTTGCTAGCCCTTATAACTTATTATTACTGCGGGTGCATTACTAATGTATATATTGGGACGGGTAACGGAATAAACTTTGCCTATCAAGAGATGAGATTTATTTTAATTTTAATATTGACGAATGAATTATTTTCCAGTTCCGTTTTATTTAAATCATGACGAACTTTTGGTGTAACTGGTTTAATTTTTTTGTGGGATGCACATTTCTGACACGTTTTTATTCACTGGGCCACAGTCAATTGATTATCCACTTATGGATTACCGTTACAGAAAGAAAATTTCAAATAATAAATAATTGTATACATGTAATAATTAATTTTATGCTGACGATAACGATAGATCGCAAAATGGGGAGTTTGGGATACGATTACTTTTATTGCAAATGATTTATGTTTGGAAACGTTCAAATAATACTAATGGTATAACGTAATTTCAATTCCGATATCTTTTTGAATTCTTCGGCCGAACAATTTTTATCCGTGTGTTCTCCTATGGATACAAATTAAAGGGAGATTTTTTAGTGTTAAGGAAAACACGATTGATAAATAGCCATTTATATTATCGTTATTATTATGTTTATTACCGTTATTATTATTATTATAATACATATTTAGTTTAGTCAGTGATTTCAGTTCTTTTATATTGGTAAAAGATGATTTTGTGTTTGATATTAAAGAATAAATAAAAAATTGTTCATTATAAAAATCAGGATATTTCGTTTATAGATAAACATGCCTGCACAATTGGAAAAAAACTACGTTGATCCTACACTTTGTTCTTTCAGAATGACGCAGATCTGCCAACACTAAATCATTTAATTAATTAAGCGTGCTTTTATTGGGCGCTGTTCATATTCCGAAGAGTACTGCGACTATCTCTATATAAAGAGGCGACACCAGCCTAAATTTTCAAACAATAGCTACTTTTTTTCTTATTATAAATAGCAAATTATTTTTTTATCATAATGGCACAAAATATTAATTTTCTTGAAAGAAACAATACCGATGATTATTTGCACATTGAGATTTCATTAAATCTAGCCAAAACACCGGATTTCGTATCTGATAAAAATAATAAAATAGTAAACGAAACAACTACAGAAGAACCAAACGAAACAGATAATGAAACTGAATCAGAACCAAGTGAAACAGACGATGAACGAGAATCAGAAGAACCGAACGAACCAAACGAGATAGATAGCGAAATGGAATCGGAATCAGAAACAGAAACAGAAACACAAACAAGGAATCAGAATGATGATTCACTTTGTTTTACAAATTTTTTCAATCAATTGCGAATAGAAGAACAATTTGTTGCTTCCTTACTCAAAAAACAACAAAATAATACTCAAAAACCTAATTTACCAACTATTCCACAAGTATGGAATTCTATTCTTAATGACGATGAAGATATCAAGCATCGTGTTATTTATTCAGAACCAGAGCCAATTGTAAAAGATTGTCAACAAGATATGACAATGAGACATGGATTTGAAAAATCACGGTTTTCTGTTGATTCTTTTACGAGTGACGACGACGAGGAGATCGATGAAAGCGATTATTATTCGGAATTTAAAACTGAAGATGCGGAAAAAGAAAAAGATTATGTGACCGATACAATTTACTATGTGGACAAATTGTTGAATGATTATTATGACTCGGATGAAGAGTCAGAAACGTCAACGTTATTTAATGAAGAACCAATGATTAGTCGTCAATCCTCGTTTTCAGCTGTTGTTATGACTTTGGTTGATAAAATATAATATTAATAACGATAAGAACATTGTAAATATTTTAGTATGGATTTATTTTATAATTTTATTAAGTACATGTATTGTTTTTTGTACATGTCTTGCAACAGATTTACTTATTAATATATGTATACCCACATGTGCATGTAATTATTATAACGGAAAAAAATGCATAATAACAATAATAGGTTATTTTTATATATGTGAAAAACATTCAGTTATTAATAAAAGTTTATACATGTACATTAATGAGAATAAATACTGCAGCGGCATTTTTAAAAAGTTGTTTATTATAAAAAAATAATTTTAAAGGAACTAAGTTTCTGTGTGTGTGATTTTGATGCGAAAACTTTAGTTAATCCCATTACTACCAAAATTATGCAGGTAGAATTTATTAATAAAATATAAATGAATCTACCAATTTGCACTTATTTTATGAACACATAACTCGAGCCAAAATATTCCATTCAAAATTCGTCTTATCGAGGCGAGTTAATGTCGATATTTTTTGGCAATCGCGCGAGTGCACGAAAATCGGTAGGTTTAGACATGTAAATGCGAAATTTTCTAATAGATAACAAGATAATAATATATAGTTTAGCATGTAAATTTTTACTGTTTTACATTTTATATGTAAATAACCAATCCAATTTTTTCAGAAAAATTACACGATATTATTATTAGCTTTATTTTGATTTAAGTTTATTAGTGGCCTATATCGATATTTCATTAATAAATTTGTTCTCCTATTTGATGACCATTGTATTCAGGATAAATAAGTTTATTTTTATTTAAAATTTCATTTATAATTTAATGAAATTAAAGTCATTAAAATGATTTTTAAATATTATGCAGTGAATAGTGAAATCAAATGTCAAAAATAATAAAAATTGAAATTTTCTCTTTATATTAAGTTTATAATTTTAATAAAAATTGTGAACGTTTTGCTACTAAATCGAAGAATTAAATTCTTGGCGGAGAATCCCAATAAAACAAAAATATTTATTGAGTAAATCATGCTGAGCGAAAGTACAGGCAATGTGTTTTAATATTTTAAAAGAAATAGTGATTAACTTTCTTAAAAAAAAATAATGTAAAATTTTCCCGTAGTTTGTCAATAATCATCCTTTTCCACTAAATAAAGTTCTCCATATAAAGTTTAAAATTTATTTTTGTTATTACAAAATTTAATTTTATCAAAATAAGAAAAACTTTGTAATTCTTTGTAGTTAGAACAACTCTTTTAGAATTCTGTTAGTTATTGTATATAGTTGCTTTTTATATTATTAATATTTTTGCTATTGATTATAAAAAAATACTTATTAATTAATTCGGCACCATTCAATCCCACTATTTATTTTTGCCTCAGTTCCTTGGCTTCGTTGCCGGTGAAAAATTAGGTTGGGAACTTTTTACTTGGTTTTTCCAACTTTCACCATTTCCGACTTTACCACTAAATTATTTTTACCGACTTTTTCCGTCGGGCTTCTTGCTCGGTGGATGCTGTTTTCTTGCTGATTGGCTAAGGATTAGAATAGAATCGTATTTTACCGTGTCAGGGAGCGGGTACATTAATGACAGGTGAACGCCCATAAGGAACAATATAATATGAATAATATGTCGATATAAACGTTGGTACGAAACACCATTAATTAGTATGCGTTATTGCAGATGACTTTGGGTGAGATGCGAGATATCGTTAAATTAATGTTACTAATTGATGTGTATCATAGAATGAAAAAGGGATGAATGATGAATTTATGATGAAATTAATAAGAGAACGATGAGATTATGGGGGAATGATGATGAAAAAAAATAAGGACGATGATGAAGGGGAATGAATTGTATATAAGATAATTCATTCTATTTGTATTAGAGTGGTTTTTCAATAATAACTATTGTATTCATCTTGATGTGAATATATTAAATAAAATCCTCTTTAATTAAAATTTATTGTGAAAGATATATTTTTGAGAAAAACATTAGAAGAATAAAATAATAAAAATATGCTTTTAGGGTGTAGGAACTAACGGCATCAATTTGTAGATTCTACGAAATACGAATAACGAAACAACCGTGGAAATTATTATTCAGGAACTCTGTAAATCGATTGACATTTATAACGTTATCGTTTTTGGTCATTTGACGTTAAGGCATAATATATTACAATTTTTCTTGTGTTCTTTTATTACCTTTATTTTCGATAAATTATTCATTTCAATATATTTATAGAAAAGAAGGGCGATATTGATTTGTGTGTTTGCGTGTAATTCAGTGTTGGCAATTGGTAATGATACATATAAAACTGGGAATTGGACATACATAACTGTTCATATACCAAATTCCAATTCAAAACAATTGTACCTGTATAAACTTACCGAAAATGCTATGCTATTATCGTGCTAAAAAGTAAACCGAGTAATATACCTACTGATGCGTGATAAATTAACAATCGATATGGCTACGCAATACATGTACATATAAATTCCATAATGGTAAATTTAATAATTTATGTTAACTAAAAATAATTAATATAAAAAAAATTAACACTAACGAGAAATTAAAGTTTATTGTCATCAACTCTTTATCTAATCGTAATACAATAAAAATGAAATCTTTTTCCCGTTTATTTGGTTTTTCATTAGCACGTTTATTATTCGTTTATGATCTTTGAAATTTAGTTTTTAAAATATAATTGTTATCATTGTCACCGTAAAGAAACATAAATGAAAATTTGAATCAATTAATAATTACTTTGGCAAACTAATAATCTACCTTTATTTGCTTCATTTTGAATATAAACACATACTTTTAGATGTGACATCATCAATATCTATATCAAATTCAGTGGTTAAATGTAAACAAAAATTTTAACATTAGGAGACATCACGCCATGAGCTTCCCACCGTAATATTATGAACGTGATCATTAGAAGCTATTATGATAAGTGGCTGAACCCCCCCAAAAAAATAAATGGCACTCCCTTAATCTGAAATCTTGAATATGAATTAAATGTGAAACCTGGAATAGCACTCTGGAGCAAATCTGGAGCATTACTGGAGTATCAACCCATTAACAACCTATCTAAATACATCGCATACCAAACAATTTTAAGCATCCTTTCCCTTAATACATACCCGATACAAATTAAAGGGTATATAGTATGACGTGAGATATTTTACCTAGTAAATTCTCTATAAATACACCTCTTTATGGTCATGTTTTTTATAATGCCTAATTTTAAGTTTGCTAGTTATTTAGCAACTATAATTAAAATATACTTTTTATACTTTAAATTGTCAAATGCTTACTGAATAAAGATAATTCTTTATTGAAAATCTCAAATTGATAAGCTCAAGATTTCAATTTCGATATAAATTGTAATTATACTTAATCTTAAAATATAATAATTTTAATAAATAAATAAAAAATATATTATTATTATTAATTTTAAAAATTTATCAACAAATCTTTAAGAAGTCAGTAATTTTAAATAATAAGTTATATTTAACTAATATATAATAATCATTTAATCAATATAAAAAAGATTATATACAATAAAAATCAAAGAGAATGTACTAAAGAGTCAAATTTATAGTAAAAATTGAAATTTTTTCTTTATATTAAATTTTTATAGTTTTTATTAATAAATATTTTTTTATTTTATATCAAATTAAAGTTCATAATCTATAGTTAATATATATTTTTTTAGATATTTTTGAATAAATTATTTTAATTGCAAAGTTATTACAAAATTTATAATTAACACAATTCTTTCAGAAAAAATTTTTAATAAATTTTCAATTAGAATAATTCTTTCAGAAAAATCTAAAAAATTTGAAAAAATTATAAACTTTAATTTAATATAAAAATTAAAATTTCATATAGAAAAAATTTAATTTTTATTATGATTTAGTACAAAAGATTTGTCTTAGATAATATTAATAAATTATTTTTTCAAATAATCTTTTAATTCAGTCTTATTTAATTAAGTTATTAGATATTAGAATTTATTTAAAAATAAAAATTTTTATTGTATATCTTTTATAAAAAAATTTTTACTAATAATAACTTTTTTGAATTATTATTCTTAAATTTTACTATATAAAATTTGATTAAAATTAATATAAAAATTATATAATAAAT